GAATTTATATGAATAATAAATGAAAGGGTTTAATTATAGACAATGTATAAAAAATCGTCAACGTAATTTAAATTCAATATTAAAATTGTGTTATTCAATCATTTTATTTATTGGTACTCTAGGCATGTAGTGTATATACTAACTGTATCTGATGATACAATGAAATCCCGTTGTTTTCTATAACGAGACTTTATTTTATATTTGTACAATAATTTGTTTAGAGTAGAGATGTTTAGTTTGTATTTTGATGAATTACATGAAGTAATTAAATATAGAAGCAAGAAGCTTGTATAAATTGAATTAAGTAGGTAGAAAAAAGAAGCGGGAACAAAATTGTTCCTCGTAAAAGTGTTAGGAGACAGATTATATTTTAATTACAGAGTAGGTAGTTAGCTTAATATAGATTATAGACGACACGCAGATACGGCAAAGGCGTTAACACTAACTACTTCGAAAATATAACCGAGACTATTGTTTTTACTTGAATCATGAATTTTTTTAAATACTTTTTGTTTTATAAAGTATATTAATGAAGTTCACCGAGCACTGGATCTGCTTGAAAAAAAGGCGGATGAGGGCGCCCCCGAACATATGACCGACAAATATGATTCGAACACTTAAGGAGGCCAACTTGATAGTGACATGTTAAGATATAAATTCTGATGCAGACAAATTAAGAGAGCCGATTCCGCCTAAGGTGGGTTAAGGAAAAGAAAAAGAATAATAATAAAGTATATATTTTATTTTTGCTTATGTGGGTGGACGGGCTCGCGGCTCACCTGTGTTAAGTAGTTACGGAGCCCATAGACATCTACAACGTAAATGCCGCCACCTACCTTGAGATATTAATTCTAAGGTCTCAATTTTTACAGTACAACGGCTGTACCACCGTTCAAACCAAAACGCGCTACTGCTTCACGGCAGAAATAGGCAGGGTGGTGGCATCTACCCGTGCTGACTCACAAGACGTCCTACCACCAGTAATTACGCAAATTATAGTTTTGCAAGTTTAATTTTTATTACACGATGTTATTCCTTCACTGTGGAAGTCAATCGTGAACATTTGTTAAGTACGTATTTCCTCAGAAAATCGGTACCAGCTTGGGGGATATTTACATAACAGCCTGTACAACGCGAACTTTTCATGAGGAACTATGAGTGTCTAAAACATTGTATATGTTAGACAGTGTAAATATCTAACTGAATACTATATTTTTATTTATTTTATTTCCAAACATTTACACATAATATTATTTTAATAACCTAAAAGATAATTTACACTACTATATTTTGTTTCAGTTTGGGACATGATTGTTCCAAATTATTTTCACCCCGATTAATAAAAAGTTCAATTAATTGAGACGCATCGCAATTTGATCGTTGCCAAATTTTTTTTCTATTTAAACTATTATCGTACTGTCGCACTGTCACAGCGACTGTTATTGAATTGTTTTTATTGCTCTTTAAGCGTACCACCGTCATTTGCTCACAGACCGCTCGATGTTGAGTGGTTACTCGAAAGAATAGGCATAATGAAGTTTTTTTTTTTATTGCCCTTGTAGGCAGACGAGCATACGGCCCACCTGATGGTGAGTGGTTACCGTTGCCCATGGACTTCAGCAATGCCAGGGGCAGAGCCAAACCGCTGCCTACCGCTAGTGGTTACCGTTGCCCATGGACTTCAGCAATGCCAGGGGCAGAGCCAAGCCGCTGCCTACCGCTATACCTGCTAGTGAACGCACTATCTATTTATGTACTTATTTAGTTGCATCAACAAGGTGATCATCAATATAAAACATTGACAAATTGACAAAAAGTACATAATAGATGTGACCTTAATTATAGGTGCAATCGATAGTGCAATATTTGACAACATTTTGAAAAGTCTGAATCTATATATTAAAAAACTTTGTATCCCTTTTTACGAAAATTGCGCGGACGAAGGAGTATGAAATTTCCCACACTTTTATAAAATATAGAGAAGGCGTGCAGAATGTTATTTTTTTTTTTAAATATGCCTACAAATACATTAAATCAATAAAAAAACACTACACACACTACCATGTATTTGACGCACACACGCATGCGTACTACCTAAGATAAGTAAGTAAAGATAGAGAAGGACTGCATAATGTTTATAGTTTGTTTAATTTCGCATAAAAAATACATTAAATAAAAACATTACACACACTACCATGTATTTGACGCACACAATTTTGTCAAACTTTTGTTATTGTATAAAGTGTATGGTCAAATTGAGAATAAATTAATATTATTTGCTTATAGTGTAGTCTTGGCGAAATCTTGATTAACGAATTAAAATAAATAATATTTGACAATAGAACCATGATAATGTTCAAATTTATAATTTCAATTAATTATAGTCGAATTTCGACTACTTAGGGACCACTAGTAAGTGAATAAAAATACGATGAACGATTTTAAGAAATATGAAATCCAGAATAATACCTATTCACTAAGTAAAAAAAGTTTTAATATCTACACTAGTAGAAAAAAAATTATATAGCATCTGTCATGATAGAATCGATGAGATTGAATATTATATACATACCGGGGTATTTTCCGACCCTTAGAACCGAAACCCTGAACTTTAGATACATATTAGTATCAGTAATAATACAATTCTTTTATTTATTGCGTGCTTCGTTTTATCGCATCGTCTTTTTCCTTCATCGTGGTCATGGTTTATGAATAGGTGCAACATTAGCTTATAAAAAATATATATAATTGTATGTGCATGCGAAAATTGACCTCGCCACAACCGCATCGCTCACGAGTTCACGGGCGTCTTATCCTTTAAGTCGCTAACGTTTCAATGGCATCGATTGATTGGCTGGTGATTTATGGATCGCTCAGTTCTAAAAGCCAAGAAAATCCCGAAAATGAAGCCGGTAGCAACGCCTTTTGCGATTATAAAAAAAAACAAATGAAATTGTAAATTTTGAACCGCGGTTAAAATGTTCTCGTGCAGCGCATCTGTCTTCAGTTTAGACAACTTCATGTAATGTAAACTTCTTTTTCTTAAAAAATCTTTTTTTTTTCCTTTTTATTAAAATTCTCTCTGTCACCAAACATAATTCTATTTCGGCCTTGAAATTTATTTATTAATTCATTAAAAATATTCTTTTAGCATTGGAGAACTTGGAAAATCATATTTTTTCAATATTGTCTACTGGATACACCACCATGATGGAATTTTCGTTCTTTAAATTATTCTTCTCAACAATCTTAAGTCTTTCTGTGTCCGTGACAAGTCCCAGCACTACTTTTGATTCGTTTAATACAGATAAAGCAAGTAAAGACTAAAAACACAGATCTCAAAAATTCCGTATTTAAATACAATGATAACAGTTATATAACGGTGATTATCCGTTTCTTAGTAAACACATTTTAATTACAATATCGATTAGCTAAACCACAAAAAGTTCTTGTTGCTTTACATTAATAATAAATATTGTATTAATTTGTATCGAAAAATAGAAAACGTATTTTAAAAAAAAGGTAGATAACCTTAATTCTTCGTTAAATGTGTGGTAAATTGGGTAAAAAGTATTTAAAAAAAACAATGTATTTTTTTTACTTCTTACACTCATAAGATTTATAGCACTCAAAAAAGATATAAAATAAAATAGGTTTACCTTAACGCAAACTATTAACAGCACTTATCTCCGCCATTAAACAAAACCAGTTACGAATAACAAAGGATAAACTTGTAATAAAAAAACATCTTATTACACCTAATTACGATTAAACGAAGACAAATTTTAGAATATCGTAAAAGGAATACACTCGAAACCAGTTTCAATCTTGAATAACAGAATTAATTGATAGGTAGAATCTAACGAACTTCATTTACGTCCTGAGCGTAGCCCAGTGCGTTATCAAAGAAGACACAGACAAACCAGCAAACACCGATAACAGGAGTAGATAACGGAGAACATAATACTAATAAAATTGTTACGTTCCAACTCTATTTAATAAGTACGGCTTAGATTCACGATAAAAAAAATAATTATGAGGCTTGATAGGTTGGAGATCGTCAGCGGATGACACCGTTTTGGGTTTTTTTGGCATTATTATATTTCTTGAAATATTATATCGTTTTGTATAAGAGCGAACGTGTTCTTAAAATTGGACTTCTACGAAGAAGAAAAAAAAAGAACGGATCTGAGTCCGAAATTTAAGGTCAATGTTCCTATAATATACATAGAATTCCTTTGCATTTTAGCAAAACATGTTTTATTGACAACACATCGGTATCACTACGTTCAATTTAAATAAAAGATTTAAATTATTTTGACTCTCAAATATTTTCATTTGGCGACGAATAATGGATTTAGTATATTTCGGTCTATTTCGATTATAATAACAAATTGTCGAGGAATTTGTAAAGTTGTAATGATCACTTGGAAACGTAGAAAATATACATTATAGTATTTGTGAAGCTTGAATTGCGATAAGTTTTTTTAAAGTCATTCATATTGTTTAATTAGAATTTCATGAACCCTTTAAATTATTTTATACTTTACAAAATTGCTTTGATTTTTATCAGCTGTTTACAGTTGGAATGTGAACTAATACGTTGGAATGCGAAATATCTGAATTTATGTTTTGACTACCAATTTATATTCAGACATGATTTACATCAAATTTAATGTTAATAATATATTTTTAAAGGAAATACCATTAAATAAGTATGTTATATTTATTAAACATATTTATTAAACATCATGTCTTAAGCATTATCGAAGGGTCATTGTTTTTGTGATAAGATAAAAATCAGACGCTACGGAGCTTGCTTCTTGTATTATATTTTTAAATTCCACAGCATTGTTTCCGATAAAACGTACACAACTTTTTTTTTATGTATTTACCAAAATTCATAAATAAAACATATTGTAATACGTGTATTTTTTGGCCAAACAAATCTTACTAAACACAGATCACTTTTAAAACTGAACAAGAATCGCAACACTCACCTTTTCTGCAAGAATCTCTTCCGAAATTCTATGTAGGCTGATCTGCCTTTATCTTCTACGTCGCCGATCCTGACGCGGCCGTGCAGGGGTACCCTGTGTCCGGAAATTCCATAGTCCATTTGCAGATCGACGACAAGCATTAAAGTGAAGAGTATCAGGGAGGCGCTGATCGCGAGCGCTAAGCGCTCCTTTAGCTTCATGTTGAGCATTGTGTAGCGCGCGATCGTGCGGCGCGGCGCGTGTTGACTGCGCGCATGTTCCTCGGGCGTCGGCGAACGCTTACAGTCGCGAGCGCACGTCGCCGCGCCGCCGCCGCACCGCCGCCTCCACCTCGCGCGTGCCCACCCACTCACACTGAAAACAAAACCTTCGTTACGTACATACACGGTGAAGGAATAACATCGTGTAATAAAAATGAAACCCGCAAAATTATAATTTGCGTAATTACTGGTGGTAGGACCTCTTGTGAGTCCGCGCGGGTAGGTACCACCGCCCTGCCTATTTCTGCCGTGAAGCAGTAATGCGTTTCGGTTTGAAGGGTGGGGCAGCCGTTGTAACTATACTGAGGCCTTAGAACTTATATCTCAAGGTGGGTGGCGCATTTACGTTGTGGATGTCTATGGGCTCCAGTAACCACTTAACACCAGGTGGGCTGTGAACCGAGATGGACCGAATGGTAAACAGTCGACGTCGCCCTATGCTTTTTTTTATGCACGTCATTACGGATTCTCCCGATCCATTAACGGTGCTTTTAGGTACCTTAAGCACCGGTCATCGTCCTCGCCAAGCCCGTCGCTTGCGACGAAGGGCTCGACAAGTAAATTAACCCATAGATACAGCCCACTGAGTTTACCGCCGGATCTTCTCAGTGGGTCGCGTTTCCGATCCGGTGGTAGATTCTGCGAAGCACTGCTAGGGTCATCAGTGTTAGCAACACCTCCGGTTTGAGCCCCGTGAGCTCACCTACACGTCAAGGAGAAGCTGAAATAGCCTCTCAAGGCTATCAATTATCAAGGCGCAATTTCGTTTACAATAAATAATCATCTTCCGCAATGTTTTTTTTGTATTGCCTTTGTAATCAGACGAGCATACGGCCCATGGTTGGTGACTGGTTACCCTCGCTCATAAACTTCAGCAATATCAGGGACAAAGCTAAGCCGCCGCCTACCGTAAAGTACTGTAGTAATGTTTAATTTTTTATTTCAATTTTGCATTTCAAATGTAAATCATTGCTTATGATTTAAGCAATGATTTACATTTGATTTGATGATTACACTCACAAGATACGAATATAACAATTAGCACGATACATCTTAGAGACTAAGAACCTGGATTTAATTTAACAAACTGTAACACAAGACGGAAAGCAAGTAAATATACTACAAGTATATATACTAGCTGTCCACCCACAGTGTTGCCCGCATACATTTAACTTTGTACGTCGTAGGAGGAGATATTTGTTCGACAGTGGGATGAAAAGCATCTTCTTTCACCGGTTTCTATTTTCATACCGAATTTCTTTCAAGTCAGTTCACTAGATTATGAGTGAAAACGTAACAAAACCAACCCACTTTCGTAATTTTTTTAAATACTACTAATGAACATTTAGGTTGCAGGTCAACGGAATTTGCTCGAACCAATGACTTTACCTATACGGCTATGTTTAATTTGTTTGAGCAGCCATAAAAATTTGAGGCCAGAGTATCCTTACGACAATAATATATGTATTAATCGGAAGATACAATATAAAATGTCTATTTGAAGTTTGTTAGGGCATATGGTGGTCTGTTGGCTTGTCAACCGGATAAAAACTATGACGCCCTCCTCGATTATCTATTACTACTACTACTACTACATATGTAGTTACTATGCTTAGTTTTATTTTTATATTTTTATTGCTTATATGGGTGGACGAGCTCACAGCCCACCTGGTGTTAAATGGTTACTGGAGCCCGTAGACATCTACAACACAAAAGCGCCACCCACCTTGAGATATAATTTACTGGTGGTAGGACCTCTTTTTTACTGGTGGTAGGATCTCTTGCGAGTCCGCGCGGGTAGGTACCACCACCCTGCCTATTTCTGCCGTGAAACAGTAATGCGTTTCGGCTTGAAGGGCGAGGCAGCCGTTGTAACTATATTGAGACCTTAGAATTTACATCTCAGGTGGGTGGCGCATTTACGTTGTAAATGTCTATGGGCTCCAGTAACCACTTAACACCAGGTGGGCTGTGAGCTCGTCCACCCAACCAAGCAATAAAAAAAAATACTATAAAGTTTTAATTTATTTAATCAAAACTATTTACATTTCGAACGATTGTACTTGCAGGTACTTGTTTGTTTTCTGCCAACATATCCAAAGTAACGCTTTGAACTTTGGACGTAGCGTTAAATTACTAAATTGTTCCATTTCAAATTACGTGACACCGCACAGTTCATTGTGCAATCATAGTGATTCTGTCAACAACAGTGTTATTGATAAATTTGCATGATAGTAATTTTTATTTAGGTGCATTGTGAAATTGTAGAGAATCGATCCGTCCGCATAGTTCTATTTGAAATTGATGACTCCGTATTTACATTTATCATTTTAACGGTGAATAGCAAGCATCGTGTAATAAAAATTTTATAACCCGCAAAGTTATAGTTTGCGTAATTACCGGTGGTAGGACCTCTTGTGAGTGATTTGAAGGGTAGGGCAGCCATTGTAACTATACTGAGACCTTAGAACTCATATATCAAGGTGGGTGGCGCATTTACGTTGCAGATGCCTATGGGCTCCAGTAACCACTTAAAATCAGGTGGGCTGTGAGCTCGTCCACCCATCTAAGCAATAAGAAAAAATAACCTGTTTATTTAAAACACAAAACAAAAATGGCATTACTTTATTAGACATGAACGTATGAACATATTGCCATTGAACGTATTGTGAAAAAAATAATAATCCCTAAATTAACTAAGTTTGTTTATTAATAGAAAAACCAACTCAATCGGACATAAAAATGAAACAAAATCGTCTATTAAATTGTTGCTGTAATAAACTTATAAAAGCCACGTTCCGAGTGTTAAAACTTAAATCTGACTTAAATTGACTTCAAGTTGACGACGAAACATAATAACATTAACATTGTATTAAATACTAGCTGACCCGGCAGACTTCGTAGTGCCTCTATCGATAAATAAAATACCTAAACTTTTGTATAAAATAAACTTAAAACAAACAAAAGGAATCCGTCCGACGGAGGACACATCAAAGGAAAAATAAAATTGTTATTTTTATTTAATTCCGAGCATTTTCATATTTATCTACCTTTTAAGCCTTCTCTGGACTTCCACAAATAATTCAGGACCAAAATTAGCCAAATCGGTCCAGCCATTCTCGAGTTTTAGCGAGACTAACAAACGGCAATTCATTTTTATATATATAGATATATAGATAGAGATATTTCGAGATCACGTATTCTAGTCTACGAACTGAGTGTGAAAGTAGACGGTAATATGAGGACAGAGCGTCCTAAAAAGGCTTGGATGGAGTGTATGAAAGAGGATATCAAAGAGCAGAGTGTGAGTGCAAAGATAACGTATTATAGGTCTGAATTTAAAAAGAATACATACTGCGCCGACTCCACTTAAGATAAGATAAGGACAAGAGTAACAAGAAGAAGCATCCTAATCTACGAACTAAAAGCCACTTGATACTCACTAAAAATAAGCTTAACAAACAAACGGGTTCATTAACAATAAAACTATCGGGTTATTTGGGTCATAGTGATGAGCGGTCATAAAAACGGGAATGTCGTCGCATTAGTTAATGAGGCTATACGTTCATATTGTTTTAAATAATTCTTATCTCTACTATAAGCCTGGATAAACCAATAATCTATACCCATATAGTAATAGTGTCCTAATTTCTCATACCCGATCCTGTGGACCGAATGGTAAACAGTCAACGTCGCCCTAAGCACGTCTTTACCGATCCATTAATGGTGCTTTTAGGTACCTCAAGCACCGGTCACCGTCCTCGCCGAGCCCGTCGCTTTCGACGAAGGGCTCCATGAGTAAATTAACCCAGAGACACAACCCACTGCCCACTGAGTTTCTCGCCGGATTTTCTCATTGGGTCGAGTTTCCTATCCGATGGTAGATTCTGCGAAGCGCTGCTCTTGCTAGGGCCAGTATTAGCAACACTCCGGTTTAAGCCCCGTGAGCTCAACTAAACGTCAAGGTGAAGCTGAAATAGCCTCTCAAGGCTGTAAGCATAGGTAGGAAAAAAAGTCCTAATTTGTTATATCCCATTCTCCCCGAATTTCATTTTTGAATGCTGTTAGTCTGTCGTGTTGCTAGCCCGCATGTTACCACGACTCCCATATCCGCTCTGAATCAATGTTCTTCGGTTTGAAGTGTGGGATAGACAATGCTCTAAATCAATTGAGAATCTGGCCTTCGTAACAAAGTGAGTAGTAGCATTAATGTTATCAATCAATTTAGGGTCATAAAAAGACAGAAAAATGAAGCATAGTTTTGTGGTATTCACTTTTTTTTCCTTCTTATGCTGACAGCCTTGAGAGGCTATTTCAGCTTCGCCCTAACGTTTGTAGGTGAGCTCACGGGGCTCAAACCGGAGAGTTGCTAACACTGACCCTAGCCAGAGCAGTGCTTCGCAGAATCTACCACCGGATCGGAAACGCGACCCACTGAGAAGATTTTACCATTCGGTCTACTGGGTCGGGTATGTAGTTCCCAGCGGCCACGATGAGAGGGTTCTCATGTCTAGGTATTCACTAGAAATCCAAGTTACTATACAAAATTTACGAAATATATGTGCATAAAAGCTAAAATGAAATTTCTTTAATTAAAAGTAAAGTAGCCCCCATTTATTTCGACCTCATAGTTTGCTTTTTAATACTTTTTATGTATCTACGGATGCACGAGGTCACGACCAACACGTTATTAAGTAGTCATTGAAGCCCAAAGAGATCGCTACGTGAATTACGTGCCTGAACCACCTAGAGACACAAGGCTTTAGTCACAATATTATAAAACAACAGTTGAAACAGGTCTAAGACTCATTTGTGTAACATTTTTTGTTCCATCCGTAGTGGTGGTAATATCCTTACTATTTCATATATTTTGTTTCGAATTTAGGGCTTACTGGTGGCCTAGAGACCTTTCCTGTTTCACCAGGACAGGTGGGTGAGCAAAGGCTCAGCCAAGAGGGGTGGGATTTGCTAACAACTGCCTCCAAGAAGACCTAACAACTCAAGAGCAGCTGCTTCACGAATGAATGTACTACCGCATCGGAATCGCGACCAGCTGAAAAGATCCGGCGAGAAACTCAGTGGGCTGATGTTTAG